GGGGGGGGGAAGGCAGAGCGATGGGGAAGGGTGACGGAGAGAAGGGACGAAACCAAGAGTGATGAAGAAAGCAAGAACCTGACGGGGGGAGAAGGCAGAAGGTATAGAAGGTGAAGCTCAGAGATAAGGAGAGGGAGGATGGTGATACTCGAGTAGGTGGGAAATGGAGGAGGTTCAAGATACGGGGTAAGGAGGAAGGAGAAAAGGAGAAGGGAGGAGAGTAAGAAGGGGCAGGTAAGAGGAGACAAATATTGGGTGGGGAAGACAACACAGAGAGGGAGAATGTTGACGAGGAAGGATGTGGGTGGAATGTTGAAAATGAAAGTGGCGGTAATGAGAAGAAACATGAGTAGGGAGGGGCGAGAGAGATGGTGGGAGAAGTGGAGAAAAAGGGAGTAACAGACAGCAAACTAAGTAGATAGATAGACAGATAAATAGATACATAGATACATAGATATAGAGATAGATAGATAGATACATAGATACATAGAGAGAGAGAGAGAAACAGATCGACAGACAGGAAGGGAGGTAGGCAGGAAGGAAGGGAGGAAGGCAGGGAGGCAGGGAGGGAAGCAGGGAGCCAGGGAGGCAGGGAGGTAGATAGATTGATAGATAGAGAGACGGAGAGTGAGAGGGCGACAGGCCTCCCATCTATAACCTTCATCTTCATCCATGCACTCTCCAGCATCCACTTCTTTGCCAGCCTCGAAGCCTTCCTGTTCTCCATCCTACACCTCCGACCAACACCTTATATATCATGCTGACCTTCCTAACATCCATACTAGTGCTTCAGTCTATCAAGTCGTAATTACCATGTGCATGTTGGCGAGACCAGAAGGCGCAGTCTAGTTTGCTGCTTGTAGATCGATTAGCTACGGTTACCACTGAGATGATCCACACATGACATTAGATCATCTACGAAATGCCATTTTATGAAATTTGAAAACACATGCCGAGTTTGGAAAACAGAAATTGATTTGGAAAACGGAATTTGATCTTGAAAACAGGAATTGATTTTGAAAACGGGGATTGATTTTGAAAGCAGGAATTGATTTGGAAAACGGAAACCGATTTTGAAAAAGGGGAAATGATTTTGAAAACGGAGATGTGGTTTTGAAAACGGTAATTGATTTTGAAAACAAGAATTTATCTTGAGAACGAAATTTGATTTTAAAAATGGAAACCGATTCGAATCACGGTGAATAATATTTTAAAGTAGGTTTGATTTTTAGAACGAATTATATTTTTTGAGAAAAGCAAAATTTGAAAAATAGTAATCGAATTTGAAAATGACAATGGATATGAAATTAGTTATTGGTTTTAAATTTTAGCAATCAAAATTGTGATAAAATAATTAGAATCGGTATGTAAAATCCAAAAAATTCTGGTGTCAGTCTTGGGCTGCCGTAATTTTATCAAGATAATCTTTCTTGAGATAATCTTTTAACTAAAAATACTCTTCAGATCGGGCAGATCAATAACCAATCAGGTGAGAGGGGTAATCCAAAATGGCATGTGTGATGTACTCACTAGCGCATGGGCACCCTGCACCACAGGGTACAGGTTGATGCCTGGCTATCCGCTAAAATACTAAAAAGTTATGTGCCCATATCTCAGAATAGTGTGAAGTAAATCAAAGTACAAATAAAAGTAATAAACTATAAATCTAAACGTCCTGCTAGATTTATATCTTAGCTAGGAAATTAGATTTGGATATCAAAATGTAGTTAAAAAAAATTGTAACTGTTACGAATATTTTGAATCGGAATTTGAATTTGAATTTCGAAAATTTTGCCAAAAACCTGTGACCAAATAATTTGCATAAGGACACGTGTGTGGAATATATACACGCTTGCTTCAGAATAGAATCAATTAACAAAAATAGTAAAGAAATACCCTGCCGGATTGGTTGCTATCACAGCGAGGGCACGAGGTCGGAGCGGAGTTGAATTTTAAATTTCAATAAACAAATGTAAGTAATTTTGAATCGTGAAATTGAGATTGGTTGTGAAATTTTGCAAACGAAACTGTGATTAAATGGTATAAAACTTGTAAAGGAAACACACGTGTTCATATCACTCGGAACAGAGTGGTATGAAGTAAAAAGTAAAACAATCATTTACTGACTAAATATCCTGGTGGTTTCAATGACAGCTCAGCGAATGGCTGCGGAAGGGTGAAGGCAGCGAGTTACTCCTCCTGTGCGGTGGACTCATCGTCAGCAGCTGGGGTGTCGATTGCCACCTGAAGATAGAGTAAGACACATAGGAGTGCTTGCGCAAGCCCGCATATTCACGCTCGCGTACACACACGCACACACGCATACGAGCGTACGCACACACACGCATACATACACACACACACACACACACACACACACACACACACACACACACACACACAGCAGTAGCAGCAGTAGCAGCAGCAGCA